TCAATATTTAAGAACTCTCTGGTATAAGTATCTTCACACATCACGCTAGGTCCAAATTCAGACCATCGTCAATATTTAAGAACTTTTTGATATAAGTACTTTTACACATCACGCTAGCTCCAAATTTAGACCATCGTCAATATTAAAGAAATCTGCGATAATAAGTACATTTTACAAACCAAGCTAGGTCCAAATTCAGACCATCGTCAATATTTAAGAACTCTCTGGTATAAGTATCTTCACACATCACGCTAGGTCCAAATTCAGACCATCGTCAATATTTAAGAATTATCTGGTATAAGTATCTTCACACATCAGGCTAGGTCCAAATTCAGACCATCGTCAATATTTAAGAACTCTATGGTATAAGTATCTTCACACATCAGGCTAGGTCCAAATTCAGACCATCGTCAATATTCAAGAACTTTCTGGTATAAGTATCTTCACACATCACGCTAGGTCCAAATTCAGACCATCGTCAATATTTAAGAATTATCTGGTATAAGTATCTTCACACATCAGGCTAGGTCCAAATTCAGACCATCGTCAATATTTACGAACTCTATGGTATAAGTATCTTCACACATCACGCTAGGTCCAAATTCAGACCATCGTCAATATTTAAGAAATCTGTGATTATAAGTACATTTTACAAACCAAGCTAGGTCCAAATTCAGACCATCGTCAATATTAAAGAACTCTCTGATGTAAGTACCTTCACACATCACGCTAGGTCCAAATTCAGACCATCGTCAATATTTAAGAAATCTGTGATTATAAGTACATTTTACAAACCAAGCTAGGTCCAAATTCAGACCATCGTCAATATTTAAGAACTTTCTGGTATAAGTACCTTCACACATCACGCTAGGTCCAAATTAAGACCATCGTCAATATTAAAGAAATCTGGAATTATAAGTACATTTTACAAACCAAGCTAGGTTCAAATTAAGACCATCGTCAATATTTAAGAACTCTATGGTATAAGAACATTTACACATCACGCTAGGTCCAAATTCAGACCATCGTCAATATTTAAGAAGTATCTGGTATACGTAACTTCACACATCATGCTAGGTCCAAATTCAGACCATCGTCAATATTTAAGAACTCTATGGTATAAGTACCTTCACACATTACGCTAGATCAAAATTCAGACCATTGTCAATATCAAAGAACTCTCTGGTTGGTATAAGTACCTTCACACATCACGCTAGGTCCAAATTTGACCATCGTCAATATTTAAGAACTCTATGGTATAAGTATCTTCACACATCAGGCTAGGTCCAAATTCAGACCATCGTCAATATTTAAGAATTATCTGGTATAAGTACCTTCACACATCACGCTAGGTCCAAATTTGACCATCGTCAATATTTAAGAATTATCTGGTATAAGTACCTTCACACATCACGCTAGGTCCAAATTCAGACCATCGTCAATATTTAAGAACTCTCTGGTATAAGTACTTTTACACATCACGCAAATGTAGGTCCAAAATTCAGACCATTGTTAGTATTTAAAAACTCTCTGCTATATAAGTACATTTTACACATCAAGCTAGGTCCAAATTAAGGCAACGGTCAATATCTAAGAACCTTCTGATAGAACTACCTTGACACGTCAATCTAGGTCCAATTTCAAACCACCGTCAATATTTAAGAAGTCAGCGCGTAAGGCTGGGTGTGCTTACAATAGCGGCCCCGGGGCTTGGTTTCCTGTTTTATTTTGTTTCATATAATGTATATGAGTACATTGTACATAGCTATGTAAGACAATATTGTTGTAATTAAATCACGTAATTCTGGGAAGGCACACCTGTGCCCTTCCCTGCAAATGTGTGTTTGAATTCTTAACAAAAAAACCATCATGCCGTGATTGAAACTGTCCCAACCTAGATATTTACTTCCCCAGATACATGGTTGCGGGCACTGCCGCTGAGATGCAGATGACATACAGGACAAGACACAGCCTGTCCAGGACTTTGGCCAGCAGGGTGTAGTCGGACACATCCTTTTCCTCCTCGTTCTTCATCGCCTTGAAAATCTCTCCCAGCTCCTGTGTCTGGTTGTTGACTGCCGTGGCGAGCTCCTTCATACTGGAGGCCATCTGCAGGAAGCCTGCAGACCCTGACTTCTCCAACGCTTCAGTAGGCTGGGCCGTTACCCGTGAACGCACATCACCAAAGAGCTTGGCAGACCTGCGGATACCCTGGCAGGTCCCCCTCTTTTTTAAAATGGTCTCGGCCATGTCCGGCGCGAATGGGTGGTGCTTTGTTCCGAAGATGGCTGGGTCTTCTCCGAAGAGCGACTTCTTGTCTTCGATGGTCAGCTCTATGACGCTGTCGCTTGTCAAATCAGTCTCTCCGTCGTCGCTTGGGCCATTCTTCTTCGTGAGGTCTCCCATCAGCAGCATCCTAGACAAAACATTTACAGCGATATGTAACCTGCTAGTTAAATGGGCCCACCAGGGGGTTTGTGGTAATATTTTCTCGGAGCATTTTTAACATAGAGCCAAGGAGCCGACATTATATATGCTGGCCCTGGCTCTCATTAAGCGAAGTTTTAGAGCTAAAAAGTTTAGCAAACAGTTTGTATGTTATTAGGTAATCACACGATGGGCCCATTTTGATGCCGACTGGGTACTCTCTTAACAAGTTTATGGGACCGTCCCCACTGAAGACGCGGGAATACGACCAAAACTAGCAAAAAAATCTTATTTCTGCAAAAGTATGTTAGTGCTGTGATGGGCTTCCATAAGACACAATGGAACACTGGCTTTGTACGACATAAAAATAATTATCGCAGCCATACTGCCGTGCCACACAATAGTACCAATTTCCGCTACATTTTCTTATTTACTCTAATTCAAGGCGTTTATGATCAGCACAAACCTTGCCATGTAGCGTAGAAAGAAAGTCTTCGCGGACGGAGACAGACACCCATCCATGTCGTGGATGGTGATGACGCCCATGGTGAAGAAGAGGAAAACTCCCATCAGGGCCATGTACACGACGATCAGCGTGGCTGGAACAATATCAATGATTATTAAGATAGTTATAACATAATCTTTAACTATCATAAAAGTTCACCTGCGTTGGTATTTACATGTTTAGAGTTAAAACGTTTAATACCTAGAGCTTTCGACCAGTGGCTCTGGTATTCTGATCTTTGACCTAGTGTTCGCGTCATACAAATCCACGTGAAAAGTTCCACTCGGCCAGTAAATTGAGGAAATCAGAGTGATTGGTCGAAAGCTCTAGGTAAGAAAACTTCGTGTTGGATTGAAAGTGTTACAAGCAACACCAACTAGCATCATCTATCTTTACTGACCGAAAAACGGCAGCGCTCCCTTGACAGGAAGAACGTCCGTGACGAACACGAGAGACACGACCATGGAGAGTTGGATGGTCACTCCGAACGAGATCCGGTCACCCCTGTCCAGTGGCATGACGAAGGTGATGACCATCAGTACTACCAGGATGACGCAGGGCCCGATAGTGGTGGCGATGTGGAACGAGGGGATCCTCTCCAGCTGAACTGCGAAGCAAGCTTCCGCATTTGATTTTGCAAAGAACCTGTCCTTCCGATACCATTCACCCTCCTGGACAGCGGGAGAGGAGGCATCGCAGCTGAGACTGCTGGAATAGTCTTCTGTAGAGTTGCCGTGTCCACATTCTGTGTTAAACATATAGAAAAAAATGTTTTTAGAAGGTTATATATACATAGAATATACATAGAAGTACCCACTCTCACTCGCAATTATGTGGCCTAATCTCACTCGCAATTCTGTGGCACATAAATATATATATATATATATATTAGTTATACAACAATATTGTTATATGTAGAAGCTCCTTGTAAAAAAAATCTATCCATACATTGATACGCGTTTATCAACACTTGCAGAGGCTTACGGATGGCTTGGCCGATAGCTGAGGTTGCGGAGAAACAGATGTGACATTCCATGGTGTCTACAGGGAAGTAGAAGGGGTCCGCATCACACACGGTGGTGGTCAGCGTTTCTACCCTCCAAGTTATCACGCCAGTGTTGTTGACCTGGACTGGTATGCCTTTTTCCAGGCCGGTGTACGAAGGATCGGCGCTAGGAATTAACAAAAATGTTCATAAGACCAATTTAATGGCAACCTTTTTCAGACAAACACCGTCTTATACTATACATACCATCATCGTCCACACACCTCAGTGTTTTTTTAAGAAGCTAGTTTTCCGTTGTCCACATATGTTTGTTCTCATCCGGCACCCCGCCCTAACTAAGAAATAATTTACCACTTTTGTAAGAAAACGGCTTTTTTTAGAGGAATCTAACAGGTTTCACCCACTCACACCAGTAAGGTCTGAATACTGTTCCTGACAGTAAAAATAAACATTGCCATTTTTTTAAATAATTAGAATATACCAAAAGGAACTTGGCACACATTTAATCACTATTAACCCTCCATCTACCAATCGGCTGTCAAAATCATCTACTATTCTGTACCAAACATTGCTGTAGGACATACAAACTTCCAAGCACGCCACCCGAAAAAAATACTTTCGTATCCGGAATTATAGAGTAAAGGTGATTTTCGGTAATATAAAAAGGAACTGGTTAACGTTAAGAAACGACGTACTTTCTCTTGAGGTTGAGTGCTGGAGTCCAAATACCACTCCCCGGAACACTGAATACGTCGATTCCATCGTAGTACCTTGGATCCCATTCCAGACGACTGTCCTGCCACGTCTGGAAGAAATAAGACATCTGTTAGACAAATCAATGGACAAACATGGGTGAACTTCTTATGAAAAAATCGCAAAAGCTCAAAAGTTGTTATAATTTGTCATAGCAGTTCCAACTTACAAACTGGAAGACCACAGACGCAATCAGCTGCTCTTTCTTTTCATCCTGAAATAAAAGTTTAACATAGCCATAAATTCAGTCAAATTCTTTACCTTTGAATGTTTTTTTCCTTACCAACGAAAAATGTGAAATAGATACTATTGTATATCTTGAAGTGTTACGAGTAATGGTTTGCATTGCATCATGATCACAGCTGTACTGAAACATTGTATTGACCTCAAACGTGAAACTAAGAGCTCTGTACGCCTTAACACACCTTTCAAACACTCTGCGTCTAACAGATGCTACCTAATAACAAATCAGTTCAGTTACCTACTTATATACTATTACAAGCTGCATTTGTCTATAGACTCGGTCAATGAAGAGAGAAATTAGTCCCAAAGCTTTATTTACTAAATCATATTGCTCAAAATACAGAAAAAAACTTCCTTTCGTCCTTCCAAACGGCACATTTTTACTAAATCTTTTTCTTTTCTTACCAAGTCTACGATCTGTACCACAGACCCAGTGAAACCGATGAGGACGTTTCCTTCAGGCGCCAGGTTCGGACTGTACACATCCAGCAGCTCTTTCTCCAGTCTACCCCTCATATTCACTAAGGACGGGAAAAGTATAGGTATATGTCAACTGTTGACAAGACAGTCGATATTCAAGATATATTCTAGATATTTAAGTCAATATTCTAGTCACTTATCTACATACTGAGTTGAAACAACACTGTTCCAATGTACATTGACTCTCATTTAGCATAGATACTAAAAAATTCTGACGGAAAATTGTTACTGGGAGGGCCCTTGGCTGATTTTTAGGGCACCACCCAGAAAAGAAAGGTCACACAGTCACCTGAACAAATGGGCTTGACATATTCCCATCTGCCATTTCCGATGCACCTGACTTCGTTGGTATATCCAGACTTAATGGAGTACCCCTCGTTACAGGTGAAGGCGACCCTTTCTCCCACAAAGTAGAACCTCTTGCCAGGGCTTCTCCTGCCGTAGTTTGGAGGACCCAGGTCCATGCAGCCGTCTGCATCTGGGTGAAGTAAGTTATGAAATACAATAATATTTTAGTTATTTGATAATTAATGCATTGAGGGCAAACTTTGTGAGTTATACATCCTTCTTTGTGAGTACGTGTCTAAATGTTACCAATCAATCATTATATGAAACTGGTCATGACTGGTACATTTATGTATGTATATATGTATGTTTGTATATAATGAATTACCTTTGATTGCAATTCATCAAAATATACAATAAACAATTCTGTCATATTTCTTTATTCATATTTTCATTAATTGGTATTACTTTTTTCCATACACAATGACCGATGGCCGAGCTTTGCCTCAATTATTTAGTTAGCCTCATATCTTGTCTTCATAATTTTAAGTTCATCTTCTTTTATTTGCTGTCTGCCATTTGTAAAATTTTGTGTTACTAATATTTGAATTGTATTGCATTGTAGCAGACTTCATTGATGATAGTCTGGATTTGTAACAAATAAAGATCCGAAAAAAAAGCAAACAAACAAACAAGACAACTTACTGCACGGAATGAGGTCACATTCCTCCTGGCTACCATCTTCCGTTATGCAAAATGGCCGCTCGAGTCCGGTAGGGTTACGGCAGTAGTTGTGGACGAGGTTAGCCCAGGGGTACTCGGTTGTGTAGAAACCGCCTTGCGCAGCGGTCCACTTTACGCAAGCAGCCCCGGATAAAGTGGTACTTCCTGTACCACGGTAGTTCATGCCGCTACCATAGTAGCAAACTAGGGAAGAGAAATAGCCATATATCAGCTGCTGCTCAATAAGTGCACAGTATGGTACGTTTCCGAAAAGCTGTCATTAGAAGTATGATATACGTCTGAATACCAGTAAGATATAAGTAATGTTTCAAGTCAAAACAACCACCGGAGACAGCCGTATAGTAGACTGTTAGGTGACCAGATAGGAAGAGGATAACAGGGATCCATGACCAGGAAAACCATGCGTCAAAACGGACAGAAAGCTACAATTCCAAACTCAGCTATGTTTAGGATTGTGTTCCCACCGTGAAAGTAACACAAGCATCGTCTACATAGTCAACTCAAGTCAAGTCAAGTCGAGTATAGAGGCGAGAAGTAGAATCCCTGACGAAGGTGTCTGTATAGGAGTCAAAACGTAAGCAGGTAAGCAGGTGATACCGTTGGTGTAAAAAAAAACAAATTGCTATGTTTACCAACCAGATGACTTTGGTTTAGGATAATACTAGTCATACTGATTTGCGAACTGAATACGAGGGAAATTAAAATGGAAGGTACAATTAAAGTGACATGTTTTTGTTGGAGAATATTAGATGTAAACTTATCTGTTACCTTCATTGTTCTTTATCTCTGGCTCAGAGTTCCAGCATCCATGTTGTGGAGGAGGGAATACGTCACATTGTGGCAGCAGGTTCCTGATCCTGTCATCAGCCGTGTTGAGGACCTCCTCACACCACGAGCGGCACGGTAGCAGCGGTGTACCACTGTAAACATATTTAGTACATTCCGTGCCGGTGTCACATCGATCTCGTCTCTCGTGATTTCGCCCCCCCCCGGCAGAGAAATTTCTAGTGATTTTGCCCCCCCCTCCCCTCAACAATTAGCGATACCTGTGGTACGGTGTAAAAGAGTAGACTAACTAACCATTCTGGGTGGGATGCCCTAGTCAGGGTGTTGCCCAGTACCGTATAGAATACAACTAAAAGAGTAGACTAACTAAAAGGGCGGGAGGGGGCGAGATCTCCGTAGAAGTGGGGTGGGGGGGAGGAAATCTGTACCCCCCCCCCCCGAGGGCGAAATGACTGAGGTGCAAGATCGCTGTGTCACCGTGATCAAAACTTGAGAGATCCTGATTGGAGTCCTCAACTCAAACTCTGATCAGGATGCCGTTAAGGTGTTAGAGTGGTTTCCCATTTACAAATAAAGGGGATACATTAATGATAAGTGACATAAATCTTAAGTTGCAAAGTTTGGTCTGTAAAAATTTTACCAGTAGATCCAGACAAATGGTGTATTTTATGCGATTTCAGTGAGTATGGAAGACCATGTGTTTTACTCACATGCAAATGTCGTCTGCATTTCCTGGTGATGAGCACGTGTTTCGATCGGAGACATTGCATCTCGGGTAGAGGATCGTTGATACAAACTGTCCGAACTCGGGGTGGACTCCCTCTGGGTTGCCGTACGAACTGTTAATGTTGAGCAGCTCGGCCACAGAGGAGTTTTGTATCTCCTCGAATGTCGTCTGCCCCAGCTGGTTCGGTAACATCGCAAGTCTGCTGTTGTTGAAGTTTCCGGGAATTGTCCAGCATTCTGGAAATTAGAACAAGATGGATATTTTCTACTCGTTATGACAGTATTTTAAACACAGCGAAAAATTTATTTGTTAAGCACCAAAAGCGTGCGTAAAGGTTCCGTTTCTTCATTCTCCGTCACGTTGCTGCATGCTTTAAGGTTCGTTTAAAACAATGACGTCCAAGAGTACAATATTTTCGAGCAACTGTAAATTTTACTACATAAAACTATAGGACTTGAACTTGATTTACTAATATTGTAACGTTTTTTTTAAGTATGTATTAAACGATTTGTCACAGCGATCTCGCCCCTAGTGATTTTGCCCTTCCTGGGGGTAAGATCACTAGAGATCCCCCCCCCCCCTCCGTAGATCTCGCCCCCCCTCCCGCCCCTTTGTTAGTCCACTATTTTATGCCGTACATAAAGCATTGCAGGTACACAAATGTTGTTTATAATTCTAACAATATTATTATGGGTTCGGTTAAACCAAGAGATTTACCTCCTTGGGGGAAGTTGTAATACTCATAGGCATCTTAGCATCATAGGCATCTCAACAACACACGATTCAAGCCGTTTTGTTTGTAAAATAATTTTGAGAACATATACAAACGAAATACTACTATTAGAATGAGTTAACAAATTTTTGGACTTAGACATGCTGAAACAGAAGTTTTTTTGGGAAATAACTGTTTCCATGGGCGGGAGAAATATATAAAGGGGGTCGAGGTATGGGGGCCAAAGCGGAGAGGGTAAAATCGCTAGAGATCTCGACCGGGCAGGACAAAATCACTATAAATTTCGACCCTGGGAGGAAAAAAACGCGGAGGGGCGAGGTCACTGTGACACCGGTAGATTTAAAAAAAATCGAGTAGTGTGTAGTAAGTTAGACCATCTTACCACAGCTTTCCTCATCACTCCCGTCTGTACAGTCTACCCTGCCGTCACACCACTTCCACGCCAGGAGGCAGGCATCCCCGTCTCCGCACATCAGGTACCCCAGGGGGCAGGCTGTGTCAACTTCATGATTTTGAACTTATTATTCCAGATCTCAAGAATTTTTTTTTAAATTTCGAAAAGGAAAAAGAAAACGTATAGTTTAAATATATATAACTATAATAACTTACACACACACACACACACATATATAATATATATATAGTGTGTGTGTGTGTGTGTGTTTTAGGTTGTATGAAGAAGTGTTCCAACTACGCTACACGTATGTATATCTTTGTAAGAAATACGCAATTCAGCTTACGTCTGCGATGTATTTTAGTGCAATAAACCTTTCTACCTTCTACAAAAGGCAGAACATAGTATGACGGCCGTTATAATATCATAAACCCTGACAGCATCGAATGAATTTATATATATATTAACTAGATGTATTATGACGTGTGATCTTACGTTCGGGACAGGCATCCTCTTCTCCCGGGCCTGGTAAAATGCAAACAACAACAGAGTCATCATCGTTTGACCAACGGCAACACTCCAGAAAACATCGAAATTAACAATGGTAGTAAATGACATCAACGTTAGGTAATAATTGCTTTGTAAATAGTACTGGAATAAAAGTCACGTCTCAGTAGTTTCATTCACAAAGTTTGAGATTACCCGACTTAATTTCTTTACATAAATCATTCGCAAGGAAAGAAGTATAAGATTTTCCTAAAACTGCTCCATACGTCTAAGTAATGCAGACAAATCTACATTTCTAATGAGCTACAACAAACATATCACGTAAAACATGTCCATGTTTACCCATTAATAATCACAGAGAAGGAAGGAGAGGTTAAATTTACTCAATAGAATAACGTGTTTGCTTGATCATGTGTATGAATAAATATATAAAGTTTTTTATATGTCCTGTACCCAATATAATGTTGGTATGTACATTCATTAAGAGGAGAAGACCATTTCCTTGATAAACAACATCTTGAAAACAACCATACTTAGTCATAATCTATAAAAACGGTTTGAAATTCAGATAAAAAGTACCGATTTGACAGATGAATGGATTCTGGTCATCACAAGAACTGGCGCCCCATTTGAAACCCTCGGTCCCCCGAAGTGCCCCACAGTTGCCTCCCGAGGGCTCACCCGGTGCCCAGTAGGTGAAATTGCAATTTCTGATCGGCCCTCCATCTGACCAAGTCCACCCTGCCTGGGAAATGAAAGAAATTTAAAAGAAAGTTGCATTAAAAGCAATGATGATGAGAGTTAAGCATTTCTCTATAAAAAACATATTAATGTTCATGGGTCATCGGACAAAAGACAATTCCTTTATTACCGTACTGTGTGCCGAACTGCTATGGACCGATCCCGAATAATAATGTTCATCAGAACTAGAAGTTCTACAAATGTGAAAAGTTTAATTAGCGGTTCGACGAATGGGAGAGTCGCTGCAAATCCGTTAGCTATTTGCATTTCTATGTTTTGAGGGATGTGGGTAGGGCTTTAGGATGGGTCTATTGACGGGGTTCGTATAATGCGACCTTATGGTGAGACACTTACTGGTGCATTCTGAAGACTGATCCAGTGATTGGCAGTTCCGTGTGCCTCAGTTATAAGGAACTCCTGCAGCTCATGTGACGTGACATCGGCGAGATGCCCCCCGTCTGCAGCACAGGTCTGGGAAGCATCAGTGTACGTCATGCTCTCAACAAAGACCTTGTAGTAGGTTCCATTCCACCGTACGTACCCAGGGTGCCCTGTTCAGACATAATGATACGCTTTATTGTTGTGACAAATAGTACAGTGGCTCTTACATGGGCAACTACAACCTACAAGCTATAGAAATACAAATAAAAGATAAATCATACCGTTTTACTTGCTAGACGATAAAGGCTAACATTAAAAGTAAATCTTTAACTGCGATTTACATAATAGAACTGATGAGGTGGAGCGTATCGTTTGTGGCCCTACGATAAGTGCTTGTTTAATTACAGGAGGCGGTCCCTTCCAGCATGACAAAAACCGTATGAATAGCGTTAACGTAAACAGCTAGAAACGATGTGGATGCGAAAATAACATTTAATTTTTTAAAACTATTTTTCCATTGAATACTATTTACCTTATATTTTTAAATATTTTATGGCAAGCTAACTTGTTTCTTTTAAACCGATTTTTTTTTCGAACGCGCCTAGCAATCGAAAAGAATGCCGTAGCAACATAGCGGTGCGGTTGACGTAACCTTATAAAACATCAATATATGTAACCTACCTATATTTTCACAGATGAAACCTTCGAGACTGAAACATGAAGAGACATTCCATCTATTTGAAGCTTGGTATTGAGCGCATTGTTCTCCATTATCATTGTTTGGTTCTCCTGGGCTCCAGTCGGTGTAACTGAGCTCCCCGCCATCTACGTATTTCCAAGACCCGTTCTTGAGGTCAAGCCCGAAAAAGTAAGACTGGTCTTCGTTGACGGCGTTCTTCAAATCGAAAAGGAAGTCGTTGGTAGTGCCATCGCGAGGCATGGCCAGAGTACCGCCCTCTGCTTGACAGAGCGCTGACGCCTGGTCGTAGGTTTTCTCTTTGTCATAGGCACGGTAACACCGGCTAGTATGTTGAAGGTACGTGTATCCATCAGGACATCCTGGAGCTAAAAAAGATTAAAAGAACTTAGTGAGAGTAGACACATTATTGCCCCATTTCAGTATTAAATCAGGTTATCTAAAACGTACCTAAATTAACGCACGAACTCGGGCTTGAAGACGCCGTAATTAAAGGAGCACAAAGTTCAAAAGGCAGTGTTATATTCCGACAGACATTGGTTTTAGGAAATGCGAAATGCATATTACTTTAGAGAATACAATAAAATGGCCATTATGCACGCAATTCTTAAAATGCAGCGAAAATAGCACTCCCGTCTGGACCGTTATACTCCTTTAAACTCTCCTTGATAAAATACTGGCGCACGCACATTCTGTCCCTATGATCTTAGCGGGCCATGAGTTAAGCCTCGGTCACTTTCATTCACACGAAATTGTTCAGATGACCTCAATATGTCTTCAAGGAAGCATTATTACTTAAATATTCTGCAGTTTAACCTCAACCTCAGGAATTAGGTCATCAGATTTTCAGAGGTCATGACCTTGACAACCGTATGAGGTCAAAGGTCAACTGCATATGCATGCCTGCAGGCTTCATACTATTTTTTACATAAATTACGATAATGAGCTGGAATTTTTTAAACTTAATCATGACAAAATATACCACTCACTATGCAATTAATATGCAAAGATCACTGAAAGAATGCAAAAACAAAAATAAATTTAGAATAAACCAAATGGGGTCCATTTGGACCCCGTTCGGTCATTCCCGTCACAAAAAAGGTCGGGTGTTTGAGGGTTAATAGTTGTACTAACCAACGCAGTTCCTTGACCCAGACAGATTGTATCCAGTCCGGCAGGTACAGCGGTAGCTTCCACCAGTGTTCACACAGTAGTGGCTGCAGCCTCCGTTGTTACTGGAGCATTCGTTGACGTCTTGGGTAGAATAAAAGGTAGATTAGACTTGAGTTAATCGGATCCGTAGTAATCAAGGGCATCTGGTGTTTTTTTTAATCACTCTTTTATTTTTCACTCAAAAATGAGCACAAAAGAGAGCAGGACACAAAGAACACATGTCAATTGTCCATTTTTAAATGTAAACTGTTTTTTGCAAAAGAATAATAAGGTTGGACAGAATTGGACACCGATCGCTTAAATCCCCCAAAATAACATTACAGAGACTAATACTTTCTAGTGGCGTCGGTGGTGTAGTGGATAGAGCAATCGACTATGAACCGGGAGACCCGGGTTCGATTCCGAGTCTACCCGGGACATGTCTGAACATGCGCCCCGACGTTGTGCCCTTGGGAAAGGCACTTTACACGACTTCCCTCACTCCACCCAGGTGTGAATGGGTACCTAGCTTCGGTTGGGGAAAGTCGTATTGAGGTCACCATGTGGCGCCGAATGGCAGCCGCACAGACCCTTGCGACAAATATGTGTATCATGTGTATTATTTGATTGTTGTGATTTGTATTGATTATGTGATACCCTGCATCAATTCAGCCGTTAAAGGCTGCGACTGCACGGGTACTGTTTGGATAATAAAAAAAACCATTTATTTATAATAAAAAAAAATACGTAAATGTTAAATAAGCAGAATGGCTAAAGTACCATTCTTCCACCTGTTGTTAAAACAGTGCAGCAGATCTACTTCCCAAAATAAATGGATTGATGACTCTTCTTCTTCCTTACAGAAACTGCATAAAGCTCGCTCTATTAGCCCTTAACTGTGTAACATTTTATTTGTTGTTAGAAATTTAAATAGTAATTAATATTGGAAAATACGCATATGGGATTCAATAGGGGTTGTATAGATTAAGCTAAACACTTTGTTCACAGCATTGGAGTATTCAAATAGTTTTCCCAATAGTATTGTATTCTATCATTAGATTCCCCATAATCTAGCCTCATGCATAAAAAAGGAATGCAGATGCTTGTTGATATTCGATTGCTGAAGCCAGCTTATGTCTCTACAAACACACCTGTTTCCAGAGATGTTTCCAGGATAAGGGAATGGCTGAAATAATTTCCTTATACACAAATTCCGAGGAGGTGCCCCCTTAATTTAAAGCATAATTTTCAAAATGATATGCTGAGACTAGAATATCATTTACTAAAGGAATCCCCTTACAATAAGAGACATTAAAATCCCGTAATAAGAGACATTAAAAAGCATGGTTTTCCACCAATACAGATTTGGGAATTCAGACAAAGTACTTTTGCTTCACTTCAAGGGCATTCTCAGGGGCAAGGGGACTTTATGTTGGCTGCCGGTATCCAAATTTCGCCCCACGCATCTGCCGCAGAACGCACCGGGACGGGGCTGTCCCTCCCCGATAACCATTAGCTTTTACTGCACTGGGATTAACATGAATCCTGCAGTCAGCCAGCCGCGCTGCCCCTTCCTCATGCTTCTTACACTCAAAGACTTGATAGAATCAGAAAGTGATCAGAATTGAAAGGCTTGGAGCTTTTAGTTCTGCGGCAGATTCGTGGGGCGAACGTTGGATACAGGCGGCCAATGGGTACAGGCGGCCAACATAAAGTCCCCTTGCCCCACCGTATCTGCTTAGAGATTATCATCTGGCACAGTTCCCGTGTCAAATTTACAGACGTAAAAAAAAACGTCACGATTATAAATCACGTTTTGGGGGCACATACGTCAGGTATACAGGTCATACGTCACGTATGGCAAAATGCAAGGAAACGTTACGTACTTATGGTTCTGCATTTTCCTTGTCAAAATTACTGACGTAAAAAACGTCACATCGGGTCTATACGTCGAATTTTTTAGTCAATACGTCACGTATATTTCATCCATACGTAACGTACTGATACGTTCCGCAGTGGAATTTTCATGTTGTATGGTTTGGGATTGATACGTCATGTACATATATCTGCTTACCTGTACAGGTGGTGCCTTCATATCCAGTGCAGCAGGGTCGGCACGTCTTATATGCTGTGCGATAGGCGGTCCTAAAACATTTGATAAATGTTAGATTTTCTCGTATAAAGATACGGTGATACCAATTACTCGAGCAATTTTAACATGTGGAACTCTGTGTTACTGTTGCAACTTCAATGTATTTATTGACAAGTTCTGACAAGTTGTATTGCAGGTCACACCTTATCCTCTATGTGTATAAAAAGTACACGGGTTAACGATAATGCCTATATAATACAATGCCGTACTTCAATTGCAGTACAATAAAAAAACATGTCCTTGTAGAACCTAAATAAAATGCTGGGTCTTATATACGCTTTAATATGGCCGTTGTTTGAAATATTTATCAACATATAATATTACCTGTATCTGGTACACTTTTTCCAACCAGAGAATCCACAGGATTTTTTATACCTCTGAGCATAGCTTTCCCTGACTGAACACCGGTACGATTGAAAACACTGAGAGCATCTGAAACAAAAAACATTGGGACGTAAGGAAGGGGCAAATCGGAATTTAACAAACGCGCAATTACAAGGAGAATGCATGTGATCTTAGTTCTGCTGGACCCATATATCATATATTGTATGCTGCACATACAGTACCATCTATATAGCTCCCTGTATGTATATGTACGATTTGAGGTATTTCTTGTGCAACACAACAAACCGCAACGAAACGCAACGAATGCAGAAGTAACTATGGCACCACAGGGCAAAAAGGTCGGGAGTCTATGACCTGATTAAGACATGAAATTATGAAAAAAAACATTGTTTAAAAATGCCAGCAGGGCAAGGGTTAAAGCTACTGTTGAAACAATATTTGATATTATATAAATGATAACGACCACCTTTATTGCACTTTTTGTCATACTGGTCTAAGTACAGGTACAAAAAAATGGTGACCATATACCGTCAGCAATTAATTAAAATCTAATAAACATGTCACAACATTAAATAAAAATCAAGATCCCTTTTCAAAGTTATTACATTGAAACATGGAGGTATTTCTGGGTCCGTCAACCACCAAAGAAAATACAAAGCTCTAAATATGTAATGTATGTATGAGATCTCCGAGTTATTGTTTATTTTGCTAATGTTAGCTTTGAGAATACATACCGTACGCCGGGTATCACAGCAAGAATGCTCAGGC